TACAGAAACAAATAAATAAATATTTTATATGTCCTTTAATATGTATATTTTTATTAAAATGTATTTGTTTCTTTATGTATATTTACATTAAATGTACAACATAAATAATTTATAATGTCCATCCATCCATCTTTCCATCCATCTCTTTATCTCTGAATTACTCCATACATCAATTTATCCATCTCCCCATCTGTGAATTCCTCCATCCATCCATCCATCCATCCGTCCATCCATCCGTCCATCTCTTTATCTCTAAATTCCTCCATTCATCTATCCATCTATCTATCCATCCATCCATCCATCTCTTCATCTCCAAATTCATCCATCCATCCATCCATCCATCCAACTCTTCATCTCTGAATTCCTCCATCTATCCATCTTTGAATTTCTCCATCCAGCCATCCATCCATTTATCTCTAAATTCCTCCATTCATCAATTTCTCCATCCATCTCTTTATCTCTGAATTCCTCCATCCATCTGTCCATCCATCTCTTCATCTCTGAATTCTTCCATCCATCCATCTCTTCATCTCTGAATTCCTCCATCCATCTCTTCATCTCTGAATTCCTCCATCCATCCATCCATCTCTCAAATTACTCCATTTTCCACCTATCCCTCAACCTCTCTCCATTCCTTAATCTAATCATCCCTTCATGACTCCATCTCTCAATCTCTCTATTCCTCAGTCTCTCCATCCCTCCATCTTGCCATCTCACTATTCCACCATGTCTCTGTCTCTTCATCCCTCCATTTCTCAAATATTCTTGTTTCTCCATCCCTCCATCCATCAATCCCACCATCTCTCCATTATTTCATCTGTCCATCTTCCCATTTCTCTATATCTCCCTCCCTTCACCTCTTTATCTATCTTATCCACAGTTTCTCCATCGCTCCCTTTATACTGTACAGTAATCCCTCCATTTTTTCATTCCCCATTCCCCAGTCTCTCCATTCCTCTATTCATCCATCTCTCCACAGATATGGCATAATATGCAGGGCAAGACTTTTTGTAATATAAGCAATTATTACACAGAATGACATTTTAGCGTGTTCTTTAAATCATGGGTAGTTAAAAGTACTAATGATTCAACAGCGTGTGCTTTAATTTCTATAATACTTCAGCTTACTATACGGAAAGATTATTTTTAAGATTCCTTTACGTTACACAGCCAAATCAAAGATATTTTGAACTAAACACCAAAGTCCGACTTGTGCCAGATAATGGTCTCTCTAAGAGCGACTGTTCTAAAAAATGAGGCACAGAGGGTCACATAAGGCACTCTCTCACAGCACAAAACACAATACATTTTTGATCGGTGACCCATTCTTTTAGTTTCAAAATATATTTTTCCAGTTTCACAACTCAACACCCTTGACCACTTAAGAGATACTGCCACCATTTCAAGATCGTACAGATTTACTAGTTAACAGGCAAAACTGTGGTGTGAAAAAGTTACTGATTTTATTATTTCTTTCTGCATGTTTTTCAAACAATGATATATATATATA